TTATTTATTTATTTATTTATTTATTTATTTATTTATTTATTTATTTATTTATTTATTTATCTATCTATATGTATATGCATGTATGTATGTATAATATAAAATAGTATTTAATTATTTTTCTTATTGCATTGTTATACTTCCATATTAATTAAAAAAAGCATAATTCGCATTTTTATTTTCGGCAAAATTCCATGGTCGGTTAGGTCGGATTGTTCAGGCAATTTATTTTTAATTGTTTAACTAATTAATTAATTAATTTCACCTTTTACTCTTTTATGATTCCCAACGGGCACATGTGCATCCTCTTTGATTGTTTTCCTAACCCTTGAAAAGGTTGAATAAGTCAAACAAAGGGCTGTAACCCATTTTTTTCTTCTTTTTTCATTCCGTCCAGACTTGCTGCGAGTCCCACCAACAGGAACCATTCTCTCCTCCTCCTTTTCCTCCTTCACGAGGATCGGCGCGGCGATCGCAGGTGATCCTCCAGGCCACACGAACGTGCCGCCCGGGGGCTCCGAGGTGAACCCTCTTTTCTCGGACATTGACCGCAAACTGCGCCTCCCATTGCATCGACTCGCTTGGCAGTTGTGGGCGCGTCTTCGTCTTCTCGTCGTCAAGGCGACTACTGTCCTCGAGTGCCTCTGGGAGTCCGGCTATTCGTCGATCCTCTCGACAGTCAGCACCTCAGCAGACCTGCCGGCAGACGCTTCACGCCCGCCTCAGATTGACTCGCATGTCTGCCCAGCTTCTGGGGCTCCAACTGCCGCCCGGCCTAGCCGAGACCGGCAGTCGAGTCCGGCGTCTCACAGTCGCGATTGGCAACGCCGCAACGGACTCGAGCTGGCTCTGGTGGCTCGTCGGCTGGCCGGCCTCCGTCGAATCGTCGATCTGCTCCAGCGCTGCCTCGATTCCGCCCTCAAAACCACTCAGCGCTGGTCCGTTCAGACACAACTTTACGCCATTCGGTAGGCCGGTCGTCATGGGCTTTTCCCTCGATTGTGGTGTAACCATGCCAATAGACAGGGTTGGCTTGCCAAGACGCCCGAAAGGTCTTGAACCGATTGAAGGTGGCACAACGCGAGTCCGATTCAACCGAGACTGACATTGTCAGAGGATGGCATTTATGCTTTGAGGAAACTCATTAAAGATTCTGTAGAAAATGGCAGTTGGCAGCAATCTGAATTCACTTTTATGTCTTCATTTTGCCATTTTACTGCCGCATCTCATCATTTGATGGGCTTTTTCAAACTGGCAATAGACGGGCATGATTTATATGTGGATGTGGATTTGCATCTAGATTTGGCTATGCGGGTGAAG